TATAAAAAGGGGGAAAAATGAGGGGAAAAATGGGGGAAATTAAATAGAAAAAGGAGGAAAAATGAGAATAAAAATGGGGGAAATTGAATGGAAAAAGGGAAAAATGAGAATAAAAATGGGGGAAATTAAATATAAAGGGGGGAAATAAATGAGAATAAAAAGGGAAAAATTGAATAGAAAAAGGGGGGAAATGAGGATAAAAATGGGGAAAATTAAATAGAAAAAGGAGGAAAAATGAGAATAAAAATGGGGAAAATTGAATGGAAAAAGGTAAAAAATGAGATTAATGGAGGGGATGGGGTGGGAAAAATGAGGATAAAAAAGGGGAAAATTGGATATAAAAAAGGGATAAAAAATTCAAATGAATGGAGGGGATGGGGTGAGATAAATGAGAATTAAAAAAGAGAAAAAATGAGAATAATGGGGTAAAAAATGAGAATAATGGAGGGGATATGGAGGGAAAAATAAAGGGAAAAATTGAATGGAAAAAGGGGAAAAAATGAGATTAATGGGATAAAAAATGAGAATACTGGAGGGGATGGGGAGGGGGAAAAAAAGAGATTAAAAAGGGGAAATCCAATAGAAAAATGTGGAAAAATGAGGATAAAACAATGGGAAAATTGGACATAAAAAAGGGAAAAAATGAGATTAATGGAGGGGATGGGGAGGGAAAAATGGGAATAAAAAAAGGGAAAATTGAATGGAAAAAGGGAAAAAAAATCAGATTAATGGGATAAAAAATGAGATTAATGGAGGGGATGGGGAGGGGAAAATGCGGATAAAAAAGGGGAAAACTGGATATAAAAAAGGGGAAAAAATAGAATAATGGGATAAAAAATGAGAATAATGGGATAAAAAAATCAGATTAATGGAGGGGATGGGGTGGGAAAAAAAGAGAAAAATTGAATGGAAAAAGGGAAAAAAAATCAGATTAATGGGATAAAAAATGAGAATAATGGGATAAAAATGAGAATAATGGAGGGGATGGGGTGGGAAATAAAGAGAATAAAAAGGGAAAATCCAATAGAAAAAAATGAGGATAAAAAGGGGGAAAATTAAATATAAAGGGGGGAAATAAATGAGAATAAAAAAGGGAAAAATTGAATGGAAAAAGGGGGGGAAATGAGGATTAAAAATGGGGAAAATTCAATAGAAAAAGGAGGAAAAATGAGAATAAAAATGGAGAAAATTGAACAGAGAAAGAGGGAAAAATGAAAATAATGGGATAAAAAATGAGAATAATGGAGGGGATGGGGTGGGAAAAAATAAGGATTAAAAAAAGGGAAAAATTGGAGAGAAAAAGGGGGAAAAAAAAAAGGGAAAAATGAGAATAAAAAAGGCACCAAAATTCTGTGGAAATTCCAAAGAAAATTCTGATTTTTTTTTTTTAAAGAAAACTTTTGCTAGGGAGGGGTTGAGGAAGAGCCCGATGGGGTCCAGCTTAAAATTGGGATTTTTGGGGCATTTTTGGGGGACTTTTTAGGATATTTTTGTATTTTTGGGGAGATTTTTGAGGGGGATTTATTCTTTTAATTTTGGGGATTTTTTGGGGAGATTTTTTAAAATTTTTGGGGCTTTTTTGGGAGATTTTTTTGGAATTTTTTAGGATTTTTTTTTTTATTTCATGGGGGGATTCAAAAATTTTTTTGGGGGATTTTTGGGAGATTTTTTTGGGAGATTTTTTATTCTTAGTAATATTTTTTGGGGGGAGATTTTGGGGGATTTATTGGGGGTTTTTTGTGGATTTTTTTGGAATTTGGGGGGATTTTCATTTTCTTTTTGGGGATTTTTTTTATTTTTGTCAGATTTTTTTGGATTGGGGGTTGGGAGATTTTTTGGGGGAATTTTTGGGAGATTTTCTTTTATTTTTTTGGGGGGAATTTTCTTGGGAATTTTTTCCCCCCAAATTAAAAAAACAAAAAATCAAGAAAAATTCTTCTCCAGAACCTTTTATTGGTGAAAAAATTGAATTTTTTCCACAAAATTCCACGAAACAACCCCAAAATTCCCCGGAAAATTCCAATTTCGGGATTTTTCCCGGATTTTTGGGCTCAAAAGAAAACTTTTTCCAGGTAGGGGTTGAGGAAGATCCCGTCGGGGTCCAACTTTTCCCTCAGGGCGCAGAATTTGGAAAATTCCGGGAACATCAGCTCCAGATCCTTCCTCGTGCAGCTGTGAGCCTGCAACGCCAAAATTCCCCAAAAAAATCCCAATTTTGGAAAAATTTGGGAATTTTCCCCCATTTTTCCCATTTCCCATTAAAAATCCCTTTTTTCCCCATTAAAAATCCCATTTTCCCCCATTTCCCCTCATTATTTCCCAATTTTATTCCCATTTTTTCCCATTTTTCCACATTTTTCCTGGTTTTTGCCCATTTCTTCCCATTTTTTCCCCATTTCCCCCTTTCCCCCCCATTTTCTCCCATTTCTTTTACCATTTTCTCATTTTTCCCCCATTTTTTCCCCCAATTTTTTCTCATTTTCCCCCAGTTTTTCTCCTAGGATTTTCCCCTTTTTTCCCCAATTTTTCCCTTTTTTCTCCCATCTTTTCCCCCTTCAGTCCCCCCCTTTTTTTACCATTTTTCCCATTTCCCCTTTTTCCTTTTTTCCACCCATTTCCCCCCTTTCCCCCCATTATTTTTCCCATTTCCCCCCTATTATTTCCCCCTTTAATTCCAATTTTTCCAAGGTTTTTCCCTTTTTTTACCATTTTCCCCATTTCCCCCATTTTTTCCCTTTTTTCCACCCATTTTCCCCCTCTTTTCCCCCCATTATTTTTCCCATTTTCCCCATTTTCCCCCTATTATTTCCCCCTTTAATTCCAATTTTTCCAAGGTTTTTCCCTTTTTTTACCATTTTCCCCATTTCCCCCATTTTTTAAATCCACACAGGGAAATAATCCACACCAGGAAATAAATAATCCAGACCAGGGAATAATCCACCCGGGAAATAAATAATCCACACTGGGGAATAATCCACACTGGGGAATAATCTACACCGGAAAATAATCCACCCCCAGAAATGCATGCTGGGAAATCCACACAGGGAAATAATCCACACCAGGAAATAAATAATCCAGACCAGGGAATAATCCACCCGGGAAATAAATAATCCACACCGGGGAATAATCCACACTGGGAAATAATCCACACTGGGGAATAATCCACCCCGGGGAATAAATAATCCACACCAGGGAATAATCCACACCGGGAAATAATCCATACTGGGGAATAATCCACCCCTGGAAATCCACCCCAGGAAATAATCCACCCCAGGAAATAATCCATACCGGGAAATAACCCACACCAGGAAATAAATAATCCACACTGGGGAATAATCCACATGGGGAAGTAATCCACCCCAGGAAATTCCACACTGGGAAATATAATCCACCCCAGGAAATAATCCACCCCAGGAAATAATCCACAATGGGAAATAATCCACACCAGGAAATAATCCACACCCGGGAAATAATCCACACCAGAATAAATAATCCACACTGGGGAATAATCCACATGGGGAAGTAATCCACCCCAGGAAATTCCACACTGGGAGATATAATCCACACTAGGAAATAATCCACCCCAGGAAATAATCCACCCCAGGAAATAATCCACAATGGGAAATAATCCACACCAGGAAATAATCCACACCCGGGAAATAATCCACACCAGGAAATAATCCACAGCAGGAAATCTCGACCAGGAAATCCCACCTGGGAAATCCGCTCTGGGAAATCCATACCCCCAGGATTCAGGATCCACCCCCAGGAATCCGGGTTCCACGCCCAGGAATTTGGGATCCACCCCCGGGTAATCCCACCTCCGGGACCCCCCCCCAGGAATTCGGGATCCACCCCTTGGAATGTGGGAGCAGAGCAGGAATCATCTGGATCCACCCCGGCATCCACTCCGGGAATTTGGGATCTCAGGATTGGGAAGCAGACGGATCCCCCGCCCCACCCTGGGATCCACCCCCAGGAATTTGGGATCCCAGGCACAGGAACCAGCGAGATCCACCCAGGGATCCACTCCCACCTGGGATCCACTTCCGGGATACACCCCCGCGAAATCCCACCCAGAATCCACCCCCAGGAATTCGAGATCCACCCCGGGATCCAACCCTGGGAATTATGGATCCCAGGGTCGGGAATCAGCCGGATCCAACTCCGGGATCCACCTCCGGGATCCGCTCCGGGAATTCAGGGTCCCAGGATCAGGAGCAAGCCAGATCCACCCCCAGGAATTTGGGATCAATCCCCGGGTCCACATCTGGGATCCACCCCTGGGATTTGGGATGCTGGAATCATCCCGGGATCCATCCCCGGGAATTTGGGATCCCGTGAAATGGGAATCAGCTGGATCCACCTCCAGGATCCACCCTGGGAATTTGGGATCCTGGAGTTGTTATGGGGAATCAGTGGGATCCAACCCCTGGGATCCACCTTGGGAATTTGGGATCCCAGGAGCAGGATCAGGAATCAGCTGGATCCACCCCCAGGAATTCAGGATCCTGGGAAAGGGATGGATTTGGGACCCTGGGAAACCCCCCTTGGGATCCACCCATGGGAATTTGGGATCTCTTGGAACAGGATGGAGTTTGGATCCCAGGATCGGGATCTGCAGAGATCCCATGGAAACATTCCCAGTGGGAACGGCGTCCCAAATCCAGATCCCTCTTCCCATGGATTTGAGATCACAGGTCTGGGATCTGGAGGGATCTCCATGTCCAGATTCCCACTGGGAATGGTGTTTCCTCTTCCCATGGATTCGGGATCCCAGGATCGGGATCTAGAATGATCCCCATGGAAATATTCCCAGTGGGAATGGTGCCCCCAATCCAGATCCCTCTTCCCATGGATTTGGGCCCTCGGAATCAGGATCTGGAGGGATCTCAACGCAAACATTCCCAGTGGGAATTTGACCCCATGGCAGACCCCTCTTCCCATGGGTTCATCTCAACGCAAACATTCCCAGTGGGAATTGTGAACCCTTGGCAGACCCCTCTTCCCATGGGTTTGGGATCCAGGGGTTGGGATCTGCAGGGATCTTCTTGCCCGGATTCCCAGTGGGAATGATGTCCCAAATCCAGATTCCTCTTCCCACGGATTGGTTCCTCATCCAGGGAATTCCAGGCTGCAGGAGATGCCAGGAAAGGGCTGGGACAAGGAATGGGTTTGGGATCCCGGGGTTGGGATCTGGAGGGATCTCCATGCCCATGCAGGGATCCCATGGAAACATTCCTGGTGGGAATGGTGAACGCTTGGCAGACCCCTCTTCCCATGGATTCGGGATCCCAGGGTTGGGACCGGCAGGGATCTCCATGCCCAGATTCCCGGTGGGAGCGGTGTCCCCCTGGCAGACCCCTCTTCCCACGGATTGGTTCCTCATCCAGGGAATTCCAGGCTGCAGGAGATGCCAGGAAAGGGCTGGGACAAGGAATGGGTTTGGGATCCCGGGGTTGGGATCTGCAGGGTTCTCCATGCCCAGATTCCCTATGGGAATAGTGTCTCCCTTTCCCATGGATTTGGGATCCCAGGATTGGGATCAGCAGGGATCCCATGGAAACATTCCCAGTGGGAATGGTGAACCCTTGGCAGATCCCTCTTCCCATGGATTTGGGGTCCCGGGATTGGGATCTGGAGAGATCTCCATGGTCAGATTCCCAGTGGGAATGGTGCCTCCTCTTCCCATGGGTTTGGGGTCCCAGGATTGGGACCTGCAGGGATCTCCATGCCCAGATTCCCGGTGGGAGCGGTGTCCCCCTGGCAGACCCCTCTTCCCATGGATTGGTTCCTCATCCAGGGAATTCCAGGCTGCAGGAGATGCCAGGAAAGGGCTGGGACAAGGAATGGGTTTGGGATCCCGGGGTTGGGATCTGCAGGGTTCTCCATGCCCAGATTCCCTGTGGGAATAGTGTCTGCCTTTCCCATGGGTTTGGGATTCCAGGACTGGGATCTGCAGGGATCCCATGGAAACATTCCCGGTGGGAATGGTGTCCCCCTGGCAGATCCCTCTTCCCATGGATTTGGGATTCTGGGATTGGGACCTGGAGGGATCCCATGCAAACATTCCCGGTGGGAATGGTGCCTCCTCTTCCAATGGGTTTGGGATCCAGGGATTGGGATCTGCGGGGATCCCATGGAAACATTGCCGGTGGGAGCGGTGAACCCTTGGCAGACCCCTCTTCCCATGGATTTGGGATTCCAGGATTGGGATCTGGAGAGATCTCCATGCCCAGATTCCCGGTGGGAATGGTGCCTCCTCTTCCAATGGGTTTGGGATCCAGGGATTGGGATCTGAAGGGATCTCAACGCAAGCATTCCTGGTGGGAATGGTGAACCCTTGGCAGACCCCTCTTCCCATGGATTTGGGATTCTGGGATCGGGACCTGGAGGGATCTCCACGCCCAGATTCCCGGTGGGAATGGTGCCTCCTCTTCCCATGGGTTCGGGATCCCAGGATTGGGATCTGCAGGGATCTCCATGCCCAGATTCCCAGTGGGAATGGCGCCGACTCTTCCCATGGGTTCGGGATCCCGGGATTGGGATCTGAAGGGATCCCATTCAGATATTCCCAGTGGGAATGGCGCCTCCTCTTCCCATGGATTCGGGATCCCGGGATTGGGATCTGAAGGGATCCCATTCAGATATTCCCAGTGGGAATGGCGCCTCCTCTTCCCATGGATTCGGGATCCCGGGATTGGGACCGGCAGGGATCCCACGCAAACATTCCTGGTGGGAGCGGTGTCCCAACTCCAGCCCCCTTCCCGCGGGTGTGGGGCTCTCCGGGCGGGCCCCACCTGTACATGATGACGTTGATGTAGCAGCTGTCCCGCCGGAAGCAGGGGCTCAGCGGGATCTCGTCCCGCCGGCAGAAGCGGATCTCCACCGGGAAGTGGGCGCCGATCCCGGGATTCCGGTCCAGCTCCGCCTTCAGCTCCAGCAGCGCCTCCTTGGTTTTCCCGCTGCTCCCGGAAAGAAAAAAATTCCCGGTGAACGGAAGGGAGGGAGATCCCATCCCGTGCAATTCCCGGAATTCTGGGAGTGTTCTGGAACGTTCTTCCCGTGGGATCACATGGATGAGGGATTTGGAATGGGATGGGTTTGGGATCCGGGGATTGGGGTCTGGAGGGATCCCCAAGGAAATGTTCCAGGTGGGAATGGTGTTCCCAATCCAGATTCTTCTTCCCGTGGATTTGGGGTCTGGAGGGATCTCCGTCCCATGGAATTCCTAGAATTCAGGGAATGTTCTGGAATGTTCTTCCTGTAGGACCACACAGAGCCAGGATTTGGAATGGGATGGGTTTGGGATCCGGGCATTGGGATTTGGAGGGATCTCCATCCCATGGAAATCCTGGAATTCAGGGAATGTTCCGGAATGTTCTTCTGATGGGCACACACGGTTCTGGGATTTGGAGTGGGGTGGGTTTGGGATCTGCAGGGATCTTCATGTCCAGATTCCCAGTGGGAATGGTGTTCCCAATCCAGATCCTTCTTCCCATGGATTTGGGGTCTGGAGGGATCTCCATCCCATGGAAATCCTGGAATTCTGGGAGTGTTCTGGAACGTTCTTCCCGTGGGATCACACGGATCTGGGATTTGGAGTGGCATGGGTTTGGGATCCCGGGATTGGGATCTGGAGGGATGTCCATGGAAATATTCCCGGTGGGAATGTTGTCCCTAGTCCAGGTCCCTCTTTCCATGGATTTGTTCCTCATCCAGGGAATTTTGGGTTTGAGAAGATCCCAGGAAAGGGATGGGATTTGGAATTCCATGGGAATGACGCAATCCTGGACTGGGATCTGGGAACCCCCATGGAAAAGGACCAGGATTGGGGAATTCCCATGGGAATGGACTGCGATCATGGAATTCCATTGGGAATTGACTGGGATCAGGGAATTGCGTGGGAATGGACTGGGATCTGGGAATTCCCATGGAAAAGGACTGGAATTTGGGGATTTCCATGGGAATGATGCAACCCTGGACTGGGATCATGGAATTTCCATGGAAATAAACCAAGATCTGGCAATTCCTTTGGGAATTGACTGGGATCAGGGAATTATATTGGAATGGACTGGGATCATGGAATTCCTATGGAAAAAGAGCGGGATTCGGGAATTACATGGGGGTGGCCCAGTCCTGGACTGGGATTCAGGAATTCCCATGGGAATGGACTGGGATTAGGGAATTGTGTGGGAATGGACTGGGATCATGGAATTCCCATGGGAATGGAGCGGGATTTGGGAATTACATGTGGATGACCCAACCCTGGACTGGGATCATGGAATTCCCATGGAAAAGCACTGGGATCTGGGAATTACATGGGGATGGCCCAGTCCTGGGTTGGGATTCAGGAATTCCCATGGAAATGGATGGAGATCTGGGAATTCCCATGGAAAAGCACTGAGATTTGGGAATTTCCATGGAAATGTCCCAACCCTGGACTGGGATCTAGGAATTTCCATGGGAATGGACCGGGATCTGGGAATTACATGGGGATGGCCCAGTCCTGGGTTGGGATTCAGGAATTCCCATGGGAATGGACCGGGATCTGGGAATTACATGGGGATGGCCCAGTCCTGGACTGAGATTCAGGAATTCCCTTGGGAATGGACTGGGACCATGGAATTCCCACAGGAAAGCCCCGGGATTTGGGAATAACATGTGGATGACCCAACCCTGGACTGGGATCATGGAATTCCCATGGAAAAGCACTGGGATCTGGGAATTACATGGGGATGGCCCAAGCCTGGGTTGGGATTCAAGAATTCCCATGGGAATGGACTGGGATCATGGAATTCCCATGGAAAAGCACCGGAATTTGGGAATTTCCATGGGAATGACCCAGTCCTGGGTTGGGATTCAATAATTCCCATGGGAATGGACTGGGATCATGGAATTCCCACGGAAAAGCACCGGAATTTGGGAATTTCCATGGGGATGGCCCAACCCTGGACTGGGACCATGGAATTCCCACGGAAAAGCACCAGGATTTGGGAATTACATGGGGATGGCCCAGTCCTGGACGTGCTGGCGGAAGCGGCACTCGTAGTTGAGGATCCGGTGGCTGCGGTCGACGCTTTCCGAGCGGGAGCTGAAGAGGAGCCGGAAGAAGGCGCGGTTGATCCAGGACACCAGGCCGGGGAAGAAGGAGCTGCCGGGAAAAACCGGGAATTCAGCCCCGGAGCCGCTTCCCAAAAATCCGCCAAGGGCGGGGAGGGAGCGGAAAACGGCTGGGGGAGGATCAGGGGACGCTGGAATGGTTCGGGTGGGATTCATGGAGCTGAAATCCCATTCCGTGGGCGGGGAAACATTCCAGGATTTCCTTGGGCGCTGCCAGGGATTCTCTGGGAATTCCAGCCCAGCCGGGAATTCCTTCCCAAATTCCTCCCCATTTTCCCAGGGAATTCCCTCCATTCCCAGCCTGGGATTGGATCCATCACCTTCCCAGCTCCTCCTTGAGAGGGAATTTTGGGAATTCCCTGGGAATTCAGGACTCCATTTCTCTTTTCCATCCTCAAATTCCATAAAAACCCCTTGGGATGGATCCTTGATCCCAGAATCCTGGAATTCTGGGGATGGATGGGATCCACAGATCTCAAATCCAATCCCATTCGAATCCCAAACCCCCGGGATTTCCCAACCTTTCCTTGGACATTGCCAGGGATCCAGGGATTTTCTGGGAATTCCCTCCCAGCTGGGAATTCCATCCCAAAATCCACTTTTCCCCCATTTCCCCCCTTTTTTCTTTGTCTGCTTGGATCCCTTGACAGAATTCCAAGATTTCCCAAAATCCCTCTTTTCCCAAAATCCCTATTTTCTCCAAATCCCTCTTTTCCAAATCCTCTGGATCCTTTTAGACACAAATCCTCGGGACATTCCCACATCCAAACCCATCCCAAAAAAATCTCCTTTGATCCCAAATTCCCATCTCGGGACTGGCTTGGAATTTTTGGAATTCCCATTCCCACTGGGATTTCAAATCCATGAAATTCCAGGCATGGATCAGGGCAGGAAAATTCCTGGATTTGTTTTTTCCATCCCCAAAAACTCCATGAATTCGTGAAATTCGGGACATGGGGAAATTCCTGGATTTGACTTTTCCAGCCTGAAAAATTCCATGAACCCAAGAAATTCCAGACATTGGATAACCCTTGGATTCAGCTTTTCCAGTAGGAAAAGTTCCATGAATCCATGAAATTCGGGGCTGGGAGAATCCTTGGATTTGGCTTTTCCAGCCCGAAAAATTCCATGAATCCATGAAATTGTGGACATGGGAAAATTCCTGGATTTGGTTTTTCCAGCCGGAAAAATTCCATAATTTCTGTGGACAGCAGAGGGCAGTGAAGCCCCAGCCGGGAATCCTATCCCTGGAAAAGCAGCAATTCCCAAAATTCCTCTTTTCCCGGGAATGGGAATGCTCCCTAAAAACCCCCAAAAAAATCCCAGCACAGGGAGAAAATCGGGATAAAACCAGGCTTGGAAAATTCCAATCCTCATCCCGATCCCGATCCCACTTCCAATCCCAATACTGATCCCAGTTCTGATCCTGATCTCCGTCCGGATCCCAATCCTGATCCCGATCCTGATTCCAACCTGAATCGCAATCCCAATCCCAATCCCAATCCCAATCCCAATCCCGACTGTAATCCCGATCCTATCCCAATTCCAATCCTAATCCCAATCCCGATCCTGATCCCAAATCTAATCCCGATCCAGATTCCAATCCCGATACTGATCCAATCTGATCCTAATCCCAGTCCCGATCCCAATGATCCAGATCCTGATCCCAATGACCCCAATCCCGATCCCAATCCCAATGATCCCAACCCCAATCCCAATGATCCCAACCCCAATCCTGATCCCAATCTCATCCTGATCCCAATTCTGATCCTGATCCCAATCCCAATCTTGATCCCAATCAACATCCCAATCCCAATCTGGATTCTCATCCCAATCCCAATCCTGACCCCAAACCCAATCCCGATGATCCCAATCCCAACGGGATCTGATCCCGATCCTGGCCTTTTCCCGGGATTTCATCACTTTCCTGGAAAAACTGAGAGGATTTGGAGTTTGGGATTTGGGATTTTTGGGATTTGGGGTTTGGGTATTTGGGGGGTTGGGATTTGGGGTTTGGGAGATTTGGGATTTTTGGGATTTTTGGGATTTTTGGAATTTTTGGGACCTTGGAGCTAGAATTCGGGATTTGGGGTTTGGGGGATTTAGGATTTTGGGGATTTTCAGGAATTTGGCATTTATTTGGGATTTTTGGGATTTTTGGAATTTTTGGGACCTTGGAGCTAGAATTCGGGATTTGGGGTTTGGGGGGGATTTAGGATTTTGGGGATTTTCAGGAATTTGGGAGTTGGGATTTGGCGTTTGGGATTTTTGAGTTTTGGGGGATTTGGGACGTTTGGAATTTTTGGGATTTTTGGAATTTTCAAGATTTTGGGGATTTACGAGTTGGAAGTTGGAATTCGGCATTTTTGGGATTTGGGGTTTGGGAATTTTGGGGTTGGGGGATTTGGGATTGTGGGGATTTTTTTGATTTTTGGGATTTTTGGAATTTGAGAGTTGGGATTTTTGAGTTTTGGGGTTTTGGGATCTGGGGTTTGGAGGATTTGGGATATTCGGAATTTTGGAGATTTTGGGGATTTAGGAGCTGGAAGTTGGGATTTGGCATTTGGGATTTTTGGGATTTGGGAATTTTGGGGTTTGGAGGATTTGGGATTTCTGGGATTCTGGGGATGTTTGGGATTTTTAGGGGTTGGGATTTGGGGTTTGGGGTTTTTGGGATTTTCCTACCTGATCCAGAGCAGGAATTCCAGGAGATAATATCCCACGGCGTAATCCCAAAACCAGCTGGAGGAGGATCTGGGAGGCTGCAAATCCCGTGGGAAAACAACAGATTTAAGGGATTTTGGGGATTTTAGGGATTTTAAGGATTTCAGGGATTTTAGGGATTCGACAAAGTGGGAATTCAGGAACGGGATCCACCCAGGAGAGGGGGGCTGGAGAATCCTGGGATCCCAAAATTCCAAATATTCCGTGGTGGGGCAAAACCCAGCTCTGGAAAAAAATTCCCAGAGACCATTCCCAAAATTCTTCTTCCCGCCCAAAATCCATCCCTGGAATTCCATCAGCTTGGAAAATCCCAGAATTCCAGGCACAAATTACCAAAATCCTGGAATTCCCACCCAAAATCTATCCCTGGAATTGCCAGGAGCTCGGAAAACCTGGAATTCCCAAAATTTTGTAATTCCCATCCCAAATCCACCGCTGGAATTGCCAGGAGCTCTGAAATTCCCGCGATTTTCAGAGATGCATTCCCAAAATCCTGGAATTCCTGCCCAAAATCCACCCCTGGAATTCCTGGATCTCAGGAATTCCCAGGATTTTTCAGGATCTGTCCCCAGAATCCTGGAATTCCTGCCCAAAATCCATCCCTGGAACTGTGGGATCTTGGAAAATCTCGGGATTTTTGGAGAACCATTCCCAAAATCCTGGAATTCCCACCCAAAATCTGTCTCTGGAATTTCCAGGAGCTTGGAAAGCCTGGAATTCCGAAAATCCTGGAATTCCTGACCCAAAATAGATCCTTGGAATTGCCAAGAACTCTGAAATTCCCAGGATTTTTTGGGATCCGTTCCCAAAATCCTGGAATTGCCCCCCAAAATCCACTCCTGGAATTCCTGGATATTGGAAATTCCCGGGATTTTTGGAGATCCATTCCCAAAATCATGGAATTCCTGCCCAAAATCCACCCTTGGAATTCCACAAGCTTGGAAAGTCCTGGAATTTTTTCAGGATCCATTCCCAAAATCCTGGAATTCCTGCCCAAAATCCACCCCTGGAATTGCCAGATCTCAGAAATCCCTGGGATATTTTTGGGATCTGTCCCCAAAATCCTGGAATTCCTGCCCAAAATCCGTCCCTGGAATTGTGGGATCTTGGCAATTCCTGGGATTCCTGGAGCCCAATCCCAAAATCCACCCCTGGAATTGCCAGATCCTGGAAATTAATAGGATATTTTGGGATTCATTCCCAAAATCCAATAATTCCCATCCCAAAATCTGTCTCTGGAATTTCCAGGAGCTTGGAAAACCTGGAATTCCGAAAATCCTGGAATTCCGACTCAAAATAGATCCTTGGAATTGCCAGATCTCAGAAATTCCTGGGATTTTTTGGGATCCATTCCCAAAATCCTGGAATTGCCCCCCAAAATCCACCCCTGGAATTCCTGGATCTTGGAAATTCCCGGGATTTTCGGAGATTCATTCCCGAAATCCAGCCCCGGCACTGCGGGATCCCGGGAATTCCCGGGATTTTGGGGATTCTCGCCTGGTCGGTGGGATCCTGGTAGATGATCCGGACGTTCTCGGTGTGCGGGAACCACAGGAAGCGGAAATATTGGGAATTCCTCAGGTGCTCGTCCAGCTGATCCAGGACCTGGAGCCGGCGGGAAAACGGGAAAAGGTCGGAGGTCATTCCCGGTTTTCCAGAGTGGGAATGTCGGGAATGGGGGGGTGGGGGAAGCTCAGAGGATTCCCAGGATTTGGGGGCTGGGAATTCTCTGCTTGGGGTGCGGGCAGTGATGCCAAAATTTGGGATCCAATGGGAATTTGGGTTTGGATCCAATGGGGATTGGGGCTGGGATCCAATGGGAATTTGGGGTTTGGATCCAATGGGAATTTGGGATGGGATCTAATGGGAATGGAGTTAAATTCCAATTGGAATTTGGGTTTTGATCTAATGGGAATTTGGGTTTTGATCCATTGGGAATGGGGCTGGATCCAATGGGAATTTGGGTTTTGATCCAATGGGAATTTGCGGTTTGGATCCAATGGGAATGGAGCTGAATCCAATGGGAATTTGGGTTTGGATCTAATGGGAATTTGGGTTTTGATCCATTGGGAATGGGGCTGGATCCAATGGGAATTTGGGTTTGGATCTAATGGGAATTTGGGGTTGGGATCCAATGGGAATGGAGCTGAATCCAATGGGAATTTGGGGTTTGGATCCAATGGGAATTTGGAGTTTGGATCCAATTGGAATTTGGGATGGGATCCAATGGGAATTTGGGTTTTGATCCAATGGGAATTTGCGGTTTGGATCCAATGGGAATGGAGCTGAATCCAATGGGAATTTGGGGTTGGGATCCAATGGGAATTGTGGTTTGGATCCAGTGGGAATTTGGGATGGGATCCAGTGGGAATTTGGGTTTTGATCTAATGGGAATGGGGCTGGATCCAATGGGAATTTGGGATGGGATCCAATGGGAGTTTGGGTTTGGATCCAGTGGGAATTTGGGTTTGGATCCATTGGGAATGGGGCTGGATCCAATGGGAATTTGGGGTTTGGATCCAATTGGAATTTGGGTTTTGATCTAATTGGAATGGAGCTCCATTCCAATGGGAATTGGGGCTGAATTCCAATGGGAATTTGGGATGGGATCCAGTGGGAATTGGGGCTGGGATCCAATGGAAATGGAACTCAATTCCAATGGGATATTTCTCAGGAAATTATTCCCAGAAAATATTCCCAAAAAAGATGCCCAGGAAATTATTCCCAGGGAATATTCCCAGGAATTTTTCCTAGGATTTATTCCCAGGAAATATTTCCGTTAATTATTCCCAGGTAATTATTCCCAGAAACTATTCCCAAAAAAGAAACCCAGGAAATTATTCCCAGGAAATATTTCCATGAAATATTCCTGGGAATTATTACCGGGCATTATTCCCAGAAAATAATCCCAAAAAAAGGCGTCCAGGAAATTATTCCTATATATTATTCCAATATATTATTCCTAGGATTTATTCCCAGGAATTATTCTCAGAAAATATTCCCAGGAACTTATTCCCAAGAAACATTCCCAGGAAATTATTTCCAGGATTTATTCCCAGAAAATATTTCTATGAAATATTCCCAGAAAATATTCCCAGGACATATTCCCAGCAATTTTTTATTCCCAGAAAATAATCTCAAAAAAAGTGCCCAGGAAATATTTTCATGAAATATTCCCAGGAAAATATTTCCCAGGAAATCATTCCCAGAAACTGTTCCCAAAAAAGACGCCCAGGAAATTATTCCCAGGGAATAATTCCATGAAATTTTCCCGGGAAATTATTTCAGGAAATATTCCGAGGAATTGTCCCTTACGGAAAGGAGGTGGGAGAACGGAACAGAATCCTGGAATGGTTTGGGGTGGGATCCATGGATTTTCAATCCCACCCCAAAATCCTGGGATTTTCCAGCCTTTCCTAGGACAGTCCCAGGGATTTTTTGGGAATTCCAGCCCAGGCAGGAATTCATTCCCAAAATCCCATTTCCCTCTTTCCCAGGGAATTCCCTCCATTCCCAGCCTGGCATCGGATCCAGCCCCATCCCAACTCCTCTCCAGGAAGGAATTTTGGGATTTCCCTGGGAATTTGGGGCTCCATAAATCCCACAAAAACCCCTCGGGATGGATCCTGGATCCCAAAATCCTGGAATTCCTCAGGGGGATCCATGAACCTCCAATCCCACCCCATTCCCACCCCTCCAAGCTTTCCTTGGACACTCCCAGGGATTTTTTGGGATGGAATCCATGGACTTTCAATCCCATCCCATTCCAATCCCAACATCTGGGAATTTTCCAGCCTTTCCTTGGACATTCCAAAGGATTTTCTGGGAATTCCAGCCCAGGCAGGAATTCATTCCCAAAATCCCATTTCCCCCTTTCCCAGGGAATTCCCTCCATTCCCAGCCTGGCATCGGATCCAGCCCCATCCCGACTCCTCTCTGGGAAAGAATTTTGGGATTTCCCTGGGAATTTGGGGCTCCACTTCCCATAAACCCCATAGAAACCCTTCAGGATGGATCTTGGATCCAAGAATCCCGGAATTCCTCTGACGGGATCCACAGATCCCCAATCCCATCCCATTCCCACCCCTCCAACCTTTCCTTGGCCCCTCCCGGGGTCCCGAATTCCCGGGAAAAGCCTCCCCCCACATTCCCCAGGGATGTGATTCATCCTTTCCCACATTTTCTTCCTCTCCCAACCCTTTCTCTCCATCATTCCCACCTTTTCTCATCCTTTCCCACATTCCCTGGATCCTTTCCCACATTCCCAAAACCCTTTCCCGCTTTTCCTGCATCTCCCAACCCAATCCCTCCACCCTTTCCCACACTCCTGAAATCCTTTCCCACTTTTCCTAAGCCCTCCAGGAATTTTCCTCCATGGTTTCCCACATTCCCTGGATCCTTTTCCCTCTCTCCTGCATTTCCCAACCCATTCCCTGGATCCTCTGCCACATTCCCAAAATAATTTCCCACCTTCCCTGATTCCTCCAGGACGTTCCCTCCATCCTTTCCCACATTCCCTGGATCCTTTTTCCCACTGCCCTGATTTTTCAAACCCATTCCCTGGATTCTTTCCCCCCTTTTCCCAAAATCCTTTCCCACTTTTCCCCCATCCTTCAGGATTTTCCCTCCATCCTTTCCCACATTCCCAGGATCTTTTCCCATTTTTCCTTCATCCTTTTACCAATTTTCCTGCCTCTCCCACCCCAATCCCTCCATCCATTCCCACCTTTTTCCATCCTTTCCCTAAATTCTTCCCCTTTCCCTTTAAACCTTTCCCACATTCCCTGGATCATTTCCCCCCTTTTCCCAAAATAATTTCCCTCCCACTTTTCCTGCCTCTCCCAACCCTTTGTCTCCGTCATTCCCACCTTTTCCCAAAATCCTTTCCCACTTTTTCTGCATTTTCCAACCATTGCTCTGGATCCTCTCCCACTTTTCCTGCCCCTTCCTGCACCTCCCTGGAGCCTTTCCCACATTCCCAAAACCCTTTCCCACATTCCCTAAATCTTTTCCCACTTTTCCTGCCTCTCCCAACCCAATCCCTCCATCATTCCCACCCTTTTCCACACTTTCCCACCTTTTTCCATCCTTTCCATCTTTTCCCAAAATCCTTTCCCACTTTTCCTCCATCCCCCAGGATTTCCCCTCCATCCTTTCCCACATTCCCTGGATCCTCTCCTGCATTTTCCAACCCTTTCCCTGGATTCTCTCCCACTTTTCCTGCCCCTTCCTGCATCCAGCCTTTCCTTGGACACTCTTGGGGATTCTCTGGGAATTGCAGCCCCACCGGGAATTCCTTCCCAAGATCCCATTTTTCAGGGAATTCTCTGCATTCCCTGCCTGGGGTTGAATCCATCCTCATCCTGACTCCTCTCTGGGAAGGAATTTTGAGAATTCCCTGGAATTTGGGGCTCTATTTTTCTTTCCCATCCCCAAATTCCATAAAAATCCCTCAGGATGGATCCTGAGCGCCCTTCACCCCCCGCCCCGTACAGGAATTCCAGTGTTGGGATCCATGGATTTTCAATCCCATCCCATTTCAATCCCGCAATCCCACAACACTTTACGGGATTTGGGGATGGAAAAGGGAAGCGGAGTCCCAAATCCCAGGGAGATCCCAAAATTCCTTCCTAGAGAGGATTCGGGATGGGGATGGATCCCACCCCAGGCAGGGAATGCAGAGAATTCCCTGAAAAATGGGATCTTGGGAAGGAATTCCTGGCCGGGCTGAAATTCCCAGAGAATCCCTGGATCCCCGAGAGTGTCCAAGGAAAGGCTGGAAAATCCTGGGACTGTGGGATTGGAATGGAATGGGATTGAAGGTCCAGGGATCCCATCCCAAGAATTCTGGGTATCTGGGATCAAGGATCCATCCCAGGGGATTTTAATGGAATTGGGGGGTGGAAAAGGGAAGGGAGACCCTTCCTGGAGTCCCCAATTCCCAGGGAAGCCCCTGGACCCCAAATTCCTTCCTGGAAAGGAGTCAGGATGAGGATGGATCCCACCCCAGGCAGGGAATGCAGAGAATTCCATAAAAAACCGGGATTTGGGGTGGAATTCCTGGCCTGGCTGCAATTCCCAGAGAATCCCTGGCAGTGTCCAAGGAAAAGCTGGAAAATCCCAGGATTTTGGGATCGGAATGGGATTGGATTTGAGGTCCATGGATCCCAACAATGGAATTCCAGGATTCTGGGACCAAGGATGCTCAGGATCCATCCCGAGGGATTTTTATGGAATTCAGGGATGGAAAAGGGAAGCGGAGTCCCAAACCTCAGAGAAATCCCGAAATTCCTTCCCGGAGAGGATTCGGGATGGGGATGGATCCCACCCCAGGCAGGGAATGCAGAGAACTCCATAAAAAACCGGGATTTGGGGTGGAATTCCCGGCCTGGCTGCGATTCCCGGCGGTTCCCGGCTCCCCGCGCGCGTCCCGGGAAGGTCGGAGGAGCCGGGATCGTTCCAAGGGCTCCGCAGGCGCTGGGAATAATTGGGAAGGCGGAATTATCCCTCAAAGGCTCCGGCCGCGCTCCGGCGCCCTTTGAAGTGCCGGGAATGAAAAGCTGCTCCCGGCAAAGGGACCCGGGAATGCTGAGTCCTCCCGTCCTTGGCCCGCGCGAGGGAGAATTCGGGAATTGAATCCCTGGGAATGGGGGGGGATGGGGGAAAGATCCCGGGAATGCGGGGGGGGAAATG